AACTTTCGATTATGTCAAATAGAATTTGCGATGCTGGATTTACAAAGGGAAAGCATGTTTTGATGTCCATTAAACAAAAAGTGGAATTGCTGCAAAAATTGGATAAAGGCTCCTTTGTTTCTCTAACCATTCCGAAATCTGTTTATCAATTTCACACTGCTCTGCGCGGGAAGAAGGGGGGGGCGTCACGTCGGGCAATGAACTGGAAGTTGATCTGTCAGCACTATCCTTATCTTCAGGGCAGATGTTTTTTTTTTTATTCGGCTTATAATGTAGTATTTCATCTTTGATGTACTCCGTCTTTGATATGATTTAAATCATATTCCTCGTCATTATAAATATCACGAGTACACATCAAATAGTTTACTGGTTACAATTTTCTAATTTCGACTATGCGTAATGTATACTTAATGTATGTGCGCGTTGAAATATTTAATAAAGTAAACAAATAAATATTAAGCTTTTTTTTTTGGGTGAATTCTGATACCCTTTAGATTATAATTACTCTTCATTTCATAAATACCGGTTTCATATTTTTAATCTTATAATTGCTGCATGCCATCTTACCAGATTTAAACTGATGATTTATAATCCGGAATCGCCGAAGTCCTGACGAGTCCGGATTAAGGACTTTTGACTGTATATATTTATAACAGCCCAGGAATGAATAACCATAATAAAAAATTTACAGCAACCAGCATCATGAAATCTGGTACAGCATCTGACAACTGGACTGATCGGGACTTTGGTAATTCCAGATTATCGGTTTTTCCGGATTGTAGATCATCAGTTTAAATCTAGTAAGAAAGCATGCAGAAATTATAGAATTAAAAAGTATGAAATCATGATTTATGAAATAAAGAGCATTTATGATCTAAAGGGCATCAAAATTTATGAAAAAAAGCTTAACATTTACTTTATTAGACATTTCTTTCAATGTTTAAGTTGTTCAAGTTGCATCGTTTTTTGCACTAATACTTTCTCTTTAATTCTATAAACAGAGATAATTTCTTGCTCAGTTACAAAGTTCCACTGTTCTAAGTCCTGTAATTGCTGTATACAGAATTCCAACTAACTTGTCAATCGAAATGTTTTCATTTTCAATAACCTTTTTGTCACTTTCTTGACTATCGATAACGGTATTTTCTGGATCTAGAACCATACTACAGATTTTGCCAACCATTAATTGATTGATGATTGGGGCATTGTCATCCCAAAGAAAACCTTCTGTTATATCATCTTCATTTATTACCGCTTCTCCACATTTCGTTACAAAATCTATTAATTGGAGAATTTCACCATTGGTTTACGATATCTGAAAACCTTCAAATTCGTGACTATCATGTTCATTACTCTCATTATGAAATATGGTAGCTAACCATAAAATATGCGAAGCATTTTTAAAAGCATCTGGAGACACATCCTCCCACGATTTTGCAATGCTCCACATAGCAGATTTTAAGCTAAAATATTTCAAAAATTCTTGAATAATCTTGCCATTGTTCACAGAAATTTAACATGGATTTTAAAAATGCTACTTTACACTTGCATTTCAGTGAAAGCACTATTCCGATATCCATAGGCTGAATCATAGATGTAGAATTTGAAGGAAGGAATAATGCAGATATATTATTTTTCACTAAAACTTTAAGTACGAGTCAAACAGTTGTCTACAATTAGGATAATTTTTGCATCATCAGGCAAACCAACCAAATTCAAATGTTGCCAACAATGGGGTATAAAATGATTTTCAAACCAATAATTCATTAACGTTTGTGTCATTTATGCTCTTTTATTTGCACAGTATATAATGGGGAAGATCGTTACTCCTTTAAATGCTCGAGGTCGTGTATATTTTCCGATTATGAAAAGTTTGCACTTGCGCATTCCTGCAGCATTTGTGCACGTTAAAATTGTTAATCTAGCTTTGGAATCTTTACCACCAATTGGAGCCTTTTCTGTAGAGGTTGCAAAATATTTCGCAGTATATATTACCAGAAAAGACCAGTTTCATCAGCGTTGTAACTTTGTTCTGGAGATAATTTTTCATTAGTAAATAGTTCAGCAGCTTCAGGATTAGCTGAAGCTCTTTCACCTGAAATTTTTAATTGCCTTATACCATGGCTATTTTTAAATTTGGTTAACCAACCTGTCGAATATGTGCACTCAGTTTTTAAGTTTATTTCTTCATCAAATACTTAGGTTGGGCCATTAGCACTGGACCTGTTAATGGCATGCCCTCGCTGCGACGTTGTCCGGTGCATTCAGTCATCACTTTGTCATTATCCTCACATTTACCATAACGAACAATTTTTCTGTTATTCATTGCGAGTGGAGTATCGGAATCCACAAAAAATTTAAAAAGTTCCTTTTTCTTTTTTCGTACATCATATACAGTTGATTTTCCAATGCCATACTGCTCGCATAATTTTGAGAGGAATATGTCTTTTTCCAATTTTTTCAGCAATTCCACTTTTTGTTTAATGGACATCAAAACATGCTTTCGCTTTGTAGATCTTTATGCAGCTTCAGAATTAGAAACTCTTTTTAACATAATCAAAAGTTCAAGTTTTAATTTTCATAAAATTGCTGTAATAGTAAGAGTCTTCAAAAAGTAATAAGCTGGATCAAATTAGGAGATTAAGGAGCATCACAGTCTGCTACGTTAACTGAAATTCTTTAGAATCAGTAAAGATAATTTTAGCCTAGCTTAATAGCGTTCATTATTCATTAATGGCTATGTATCAGAAAATTGGCGACGAAAGACAAGTTGTTCTGTTTAATGTTATCTTTCTTCTATAGCGTACTGAATTAAGCCTGAACTGTATTAGTTTCATTATTTATTATACTTATGTCTACTTCTTGCACATACTTAACCTTTTAACTGTCATGACCAAAATAATGTTAGGCACAGCACTGGTGTTCCAAAATGTCACCCCGAGTATTACTTGCGGTAATTTTTTTTTTTTTTTTTTTGAGTGCATCATATTGTTATACTTGAATATGTATCATGAGAAGTTTATTTCGGCTTCAGTTCAATAGATGGCAGAACATTACTGAAGGCTTCAAAGGATAGAGGTTTATGTTCAAAGTAAGCATCTTTTTTTTTTTTTTCACTGCGCAGCAAACATTCGATTTTTGAAAAAAAAAATCAATTTATGTATCCAAATAATAACTTGATAGTTAAAGGGTTAAGGCTAATCTGGGCTATGAATAAATAAACTCCCACATATACTTAAGGCTTATGTAGGTCCGGTGCTAGGTACCACCTGATACAGTCTCTGCGGGTCCTAAATTTTGCTACAAAGTGCCTCTTTAAGTTCTAAATTTTTGCCATCCCTAAACTTTGGATCCCAGTGCTTTCCCTAAATTATAAAAAAAAATTCTTTCCTTAATTTTGCTGCTCAGTGCTTCTCCAAATTCCAAAAATTTAGTATTCCCTAAATTCTGCTTCCCGGTGCAGGCATACGAGCTCCGACGCCAGTTCTGGGTTTACGTTAATAACATATCAGTTATTCTTAGCTCAAATACCACTAAATGTAATCTTTTGGCCTAAGAGTTTCATTAACAAAATATATTTTTAGCATATGACAAGAAATTTTGTTGAATTTTTCCTCATCACAAGTGTAATGTGAGCATAAAAGGTTGCCATATTCTTGTTATTCAATTACTAATATATATAAAAAGAATTTAGACATCGCTGCACAAGTCATTACTCAAGTTATCATGCATTGATAAACATGCGGTGATGAAACCAAAATCTAATAAATAATTATTCACCAGATCGGCATCAGTATAAAATCAACAATGTATAAAATCAAACAATAGGTATAAAATCAACAATGTTCCTATGTAAAATGTTTCGGTTTGAGATGTATGATAGATACGCAGCTACGGAGCCAAATTATTGATCTCGCAAATTTATGCTTAAAGATTGCTTCTTCAGTAACATAGCATTTCATTTAGTGCCTATGTGAAATTAAGAATCAGGACTCTCCACGTTTTATTATAGGAGGAATTTGAGGTCCGGATTTTAGACTATTCCAGATATTGGATGTCCAGATCTCGGACTTTGTACTGTATATATTTATAACAGTCCAGGAATGAATAACCATAATCAAAACTTTATAAAGCAACTAGCATCATGAAATCTGCAATGTGATAAAATGAAGCACTTTAAAAGGCCTGTATGAAATAAGGGACATAATCCCCATCCTTAGGTCCTTACGATGTTAAAATAAACTGAGTACAGTTATTCATATTCCGTTATCGAATTTATTAGTCAAACATTGATAAGAAACTAATAAAAGTTACATAATGATGCATACATATAAGAATCCCAATTCAGCTATCGGTAAAATCCTAGTATACGGTGCAGCCTTGGCGCGACTTTGAAAATTATCGCCAACACCAAAAATGATCCAAAGAACGTCTATATATATATACTATATACACATAGTATATATACTATTATGTTTAACTGTATATATTTTCTTTGAATGACCCGTTAACTACTCATCGTATATGTCCCGTTTTTACTGCTCATCATAAAGTCGGCAAAAGTAGCCAAATCCCGTGTGCACCGGATAATAGGATTAAGCCCAGCTATCTAATGAAAGATTCCCTGGGTTAATATTTTCAGAAGTTCCTATAAACTGGTATAAGACCTCCCCCCGATTTCTGGGTAAAATAAAGATTTAGCATATTCAGTCACTTACTTCAACTGCAATAATTTAAGAGAAAAATAATACTACAATGTTACCTTATAGAATTATTTTTCATTTGCAATTATTAGATTTAACTTCTTTGAGATTTATAATCATCACGAATACAACACAGCAACCCAAATCACAACGATCGTGAATATGGAACAATATAAATATAACAAATTGCAATAATAAATTAAATTCGTAAAATATAATCCAAAGGAGATACAAAAATTTTCAATATTTAATGATTTTTAACAGTTCATGTTATCTCTATTTGTACTGATCTCATACCTGGTATTTGGACGTAAAGAGAGCTAAAAGCAGACAGATATATTACTGACATACACCATAGGAAAAAATTTCGGGTTAGCTTAATTTCCTTCATTTTTTTAAATTTTAAATGTACTACAAGATTTTGCAAACATCAAACCGATCAATGTGTAAACTCATTCAACCGACGTTGCCATTCCAAAAATAATTTTGAATTTTTAACGGTGATTGTGCTGTTCGATAGCATAGTAACAATACTAAAATGGATCAAATTTCATGTTAGAGAGTCAGAAACTTGCTTCAAAATAAAACAGGGATTTTGTTCGGAGAACAGCCTTGGAAACAGTTTTCGTCAAAAACTATGTTTATATTTTTCGCTTTGGGGGCAGAAAGAATTTGCGCGTGCAAAACAAGATATCTAAGTAGTCTGTCTGTAAGGTGTTTTTTGTATGTTTTCCTTCCTGGTTTTTCTGATATCGTGCGAATAATTCGTAAATGGTGAAATAATTTTGTCAGTGCGTATTAGTTTTAATTAATTAAACATTTTTTTTGAGAATAATTTGAAGAATTCTAAGAATTTTTATATAATCTTTGGTATCTGAGGGATGTATTTATTATTACAGATTAAGTTTTATCTGAATTTGTGAAACCTGATTTTCATAATTTGAATGTACTGATCTGAGTTATTAAATCGATTACAAAAATAAAAACATTTCTTTGTAACAATTATAATTATTAGCCAGTTTTCAGATAGCCGGCATAGCGAATAACTGTGTACGTAACATGCTTCTGTGTTCTTTAAAAGTCCTTAAATTTTGATGATTTGGAGGGGGCGGGAAGTCGGAAGGAGTAAGATGAGATTAGTAGTTTCCCCCTTTTTTAACTTATAAATATCACCAGTTACTAATTTGTGGAATACGTTATTATTTATGATGAGTATTATTTTACAGTTATGAAAAGTAACCTATTTAACATCTTTAAATCGAAAATTTTAAAATCTTGCATACTTGTAAAGATTCTTATGTGCACCTGAAAAGTTAAAAACACTGAGTATGGGCAGTTCATCTGTAATTTTGAATGTTATGCATCAGCTCATTAACCTTACTGCATGATTTCAATTTAATTACCCCCAAAAGAGAAAATTAAGTATACATTTAAAATATAAAAAATATGAGGGCTTTGCTCTACTCTGGCAACCTCTAATTAATTTTATGCAATTGTAAGATCTCCCTAGACCAGTACTTTCGAGAACATTCTGGCATGTTATGTAACCGCTATTATAAATGCAGAGTTCGTGCCATTTTTCATCAGACCGCTTTCACCTTTTACTGCTATAAGACCTTTGCTGTCGCTCTTCCCATCTGTCTTCCTTTGTTTGAACAATATAATGCAGTAAATTTAAACTATATGATAGCTTTGCTCTACTCCAGGGTTAATAAACTTTTTTCGGTCGCGACCCCTTTTTTCACTACTGTCAGGAGCCCATGATATTTATAATGATTTTGCGGGACCCCATAAGTATAATTGTGCAAATCCGACACACGCATGAGTGAAACTGTCAATTTTTTCACTTGTACTGTAATATACTATTGCAATTTTAGGTCATTAACTTTAGTTTCTAATTTTGAGACATAGAACAGTGACAGTTTTAATGAAGTAGCAGACAAAATTACAGTGTCACATGCAAAGCAAGGAAAATGAACGTTTATATTATAAAAAGAATGCGTCAAAACGTTTTCATTTTTTTCTTTGTCTGTACTGTCTTATCTTTATCTATTTTCAAATACATTGTGTAAAAATATTTGATAACTGTAAAATTATTATAATAAGTTAAAGAAATATCAAAACCGCTGAAATTTTTGGCAACCCCTGCTGCAGGTCCGCGACCTCCTTGGGGTTTGTGACTCACAGTTTAAGGAAACCCTGCTGTACGTAAACAGGCAACATCTAATTAACTTTCCACAATTTCAGGATCTTTCCTCTAGATCAGTACTTTCGAGAACATTCTGACTTGTTATCCTACGGCTACTCTAATTTCAGAGTTCGTGCAATTTTTCACCAGACCGTTTTCTTCTTCTACTGCTGTAAGACCTTTACTGCTGCTCTTCCCATTTCTCTTCCTTTATTTGAACAATATGATGCAGTAAATTTAAAGTTAATACCATTTAGTTTAAATTATTATTGCATATGTAATCTTGGAGAATGTAAAAGAATAATGGTTTGAATTGAATAAAGATGTGGAATGTAAACAGCTAACTTCTCTGTCGTCATTAGATACCAAGCTTCATACTTTTGCATGTTTGATTTTCATAGTTTTCTTACTATTCTACATGAATACAAGACAGTTTCCATTAATACGTCCTTCATATAAGCACACCTTTTCTTAGGTAGTGAAACCATGTGTGTTTTGCCATATTCAAATAACCTAACTTAAACTAAGAAATATTTTTCTCTGACTAAATTTCTTAATAAAGAAATTAGGTTAGTTTAACAACATTACTAAAATATATTATATGTAAAAATGTGACATAAGATCAAATGCAAAACATTTTAGAAATAATCTCAGAAATTTATATAAAAGGAAACTTGAAAAATTTTATTGTTCTAAAGTAATATTATAATAATTAAAAATTTTATTATATGTAACTAGAACCTGTTTATGGCAGTATGGCATCATTTGTAATATGATATGATGCAAAGTACCATACATTGAAGTAATTAATTTGTGAATTAATTTTGAAAAATAACGGAGTGCTATGTAAAGTACTGCAATAAAATGCATGAAATAAATTCCTTTCTCACATTACCTTTTAATATTAAAAGTAACAGAAATTGTTTATGTCTGCCAAATAAAACTGATTCCCTAAATTAAAATTTCTAAGCATTTAGACAAAAATGAGAGAAAACTTTTGCTAATGCCCTTGCGTATGCACTTTTGGTGATACAAATTAAAATGAATCAATTGCCAATTCATTATTTATTTTTGTTGATAGCTTTTAAATTATGCTTTTATTAATATGTATTAATTATTACTGGTAGCATTCACGTCAATATACAATAAACATTGCTTACCTAATAATTTAGTAGTGACAATATGCTTAGCTAACAGAAGGGAGAGAATAAATAAAAAATGGTTGCAAAAATCCTCGAGACAAAAAAAAACACTATGTGTTTGCTGAATGTGTATGCTTGTTCACTTTCGCATGCCAAAATCATTAATCTTGCTTTGGAATCTTTGCCACCAGTCGAGTCTTTTTTTGCAGATTTCTCCGAGGTTTTTTGAGGAACATATTGTCATGAAAGACCTCGTTTAGCTCTGTAAATGCATTCTGGAGATAGTTTTTTACTTTAATGGCTTCATGAATTCATCTACAAGAAAGATGCTTCTGTATCAGCCGAAATTTTTCGTCTGATATTTTTAATCACTATATACCATGGCAGTTTTTAAATTTGATTAAACAACTGTTGAATATGTGCGCTTAGATAGTTGAAGTTCATTTCCTCAAGAAATAATTTGGCTTGAGCACTGGAACTAGCAAATAATAATAAAAAAAAAGTATTTACAAAAAAACAATAAAAAAACAATATTGCATGGTTGGTATGATTGTTAATACATTGTATGTTTGTATGTCTCCCAGACGATGCAATACAGTTCGTACGATGCCTAGGCGTGCTGAGTATCAAATTATCAATCTGATCTTAGGGGATATTACACCACTCAAAAAGCAATGCTCTCTGAAGTTCCGGTAGACATGTAGGAGGAGGTTAACGGGCTGCAACTCATCTTCCAAGAATGTCCCACACGTGCTCTACTGGATTCAAGTCCGGTGAGAATGCTGACCAGTCAATACAGGTGATATCCTCCGATTGAAGGCATTCGCTTACGATGTTTGCACGGTGAGGACGGCTTTGTCATCCATAAACACAAATTGTGCGCCCATGGCGCCCGAAACAAATGTACATGTTGTTCCAGAATGACGTCCCGATAGATTTGGCTTGTCATGGTTCCAATTTGAACGTGCAGGTCAGTTCTGGAACCCAGAATAATTCCACTCCAAACGAGCACTCCTGCACCACCGTAATGGTGTCGTTCCATGATGTTTTCTTGGTGGTAACGGGTACCTGGAGCTCTCATTTGAAAGTCCGGTGAGAATCAGATTGCAAGCTAAACCTGGACTCATTGGAAAACATCACACAAGCCCACTGTTGCGGTGACCATAATGCACACCCTCTACTCCAGGCTAACCACAGGTGACAGTGAGTTGCAGTAAGTGGAACGCATCTGACAGGTCTACGAGCATATAGAACAATCTGCCCTAAGTGTCTGTACGCGGTCTGCCTTGAAATTGTCGTACCAGTGGCTGAAGAGAGCTGACGAGACAGGTCTGAGGCTGTGCTCCGCCTGTTTCTTTTGGCAGTAAACTGCCAAATAGGTCCTCATTCGGCGTTGTAACTCTGGGGCGACCTGTGCTGTAACGTCTACTCACATTACCATCATCTTGGAATCGTTGCCAAAGCCTGGAGATGACATCTGGGCAATTCCAAGTTCGGCTGATACCTCCAGTTGGTACGCCCACATTCCAGACGGCCGATAATTCTACCACGTAAAAAATCATCCAAATGCGTCCTTTGTGTCATAACTATTCGGTTATTGCACTGAAATGCTTATAAACCGCCTGCGAACAATTTTACTTCTTTGCCTGTATCCTGACCTTATATATCACTCTCTTACACTCTCGTCATTGTGACGTACCATCGGTGTCATCTGGTTACTTCCTGAAATTTGGCATATGATTCTTGAAAGATGTGTGTAGTGATTTTACAGGTGATATTTTATTTTAGAGTTCGATTTCCGCGTGACTCCGAATTATCTTAATTTATGAAGTAATGTATAGTACAAGTCCCTAATCCGAACCCGGCGCACTTCGGCGATTCCGCATAGAGGTTTCTGGATAATAGATCATCAATTTAAATCTGGTAAGGTGGCATGCAAAAATTACACATTTAAAAATATGAAATCGTAATTTATGAAATAAAGGTCAATTATGATCTAAAGGGTATCAAAATTTACAGAAAAAGTTATATTATTTGTTTACTTTATTAAACATTTCTTTCAATGCAAGTTGTTTAAGTTGCATTGGACTTTTCGTTTTTTGTGCTAATAGTATAATTTCTTGTTCAGTTAGAAAGTTCCACTGTTCAAATCCTGTAATTGCTGTATCGAGAATACTGTCTAACGAAAGTTTTTCATTTTCAATAACCTCTCTGTCGCTTTCTTCACTATCGGAAGTGCACGTGTGTAAATGCTCTACTGGTTTTATGCGCATAATAGCAAACACGCGCATGCGTAAGTTTGTGGCTTTGAGGTCTGTATTATAGATCATTCCGGATCATGGATGTCTGGATTACAGACTTTGTACTGTATATATATACACACACACATACACATATATACACACAAGAAGAAAGATAGGCTAAAAATTAAAAACAAAATTTTACATTAAGTAGTACCCATTTAAAAACTGGTAATTTTATTAGACTACTTTTTTTTTTAATTTCTCATCAATCTCATCTAAAAGTGCTTCTTTAGAATGCTATTTTCTATGTTATTTAGATTTGCATAGCTTATATATTTTATTAGTGCAGTCTATTACAGTCTAAGCTGGCTAATCTTTAGAATATGGTAACAGGTAGTTTGGCGACATTGTGGTAAGGCGATAAAGGTTACTAGCTAGGACTGAATAATAATAATAATAATCTGAGAAGTACACAGTTCGAATCACAGATTATTTTGATTCAGAGAAATGAGAGATCATGAGACATGTAATGTGACATTTTCCAGAAAATTCCGATCGTGATTGTAGCTAATAAGCACTTTTTAAGTGAAAATAGGTTGCGTGTACATGAATACCGGTTTTCATTCTTAAAAACCGGCAAGCATTTTGCGATTCTGCACTTTCTCCAATTGTACCTAATCTTTGTCATGATTAAGCATTTTTGTTTCATAAAAGTTCTAGTATAAGTGTAATTTGGCTAGCAGATTGTTGGAAAAAAATGTTGAGTAAAAAAAAAAAAAAAACCTGCCTTTCTTGTGAAAACAAAATGGCGTCCAAAAAAGCCAAACTAGCAGGTTGCTGTAGCTGGGTTGGTCGCCAAAAAATTGCCAAGTTACCATAATCCGAAGATTCACCTTTAAGCTTTTTCAATTTTAGTTTTCTTTTAGCTTACAGAGATCTTTCATGTTTTTTTAATATAAGCATTTATTTTCAGGGAATAAATTTCTATATTTTGTTGATGAAAAGCACATCTTTGTATGCTGGAAAAATTAAATATTCTTCATTTACCATCTGATATAGTATATGTTGTCTTTATATTGGCAATTATAACTCAAGAATCAGACAGCTCTTATGGTGACCGATCTAATATCTTCCAGAATTGTATGCACTGGTGTGGAATCAAAAACTGTACTAATGCTACTTCCTTAGCAAATTTTAAAGCAAATAGGCCCTGGTATATGACCTTTCTGCAATGGGAGTGCTGGGATGAATGTGACTATTTATGCATGTGGCATGCTGTGAAAGTTTTCCAAACACATGGACAGAAGATGCCCCAGTTTCATGGAAAAGTAAGTTCAGTTCTAAAATAATAGTATTTATCACGAGTTTAATATTTACAAGTAAGCTTATTGCTTAAAATATATATGTTTAACATCTGTTTTTGGTTAAAATCTTTACAATCTTTACAAATAAATTTATTGTTTAAAATAAATATGTTTAGCATCTGTTTTTGGTTGTATATGATGATATGTATTTATTTAATCAGTAGTCCTATAGATATTAGTTTTACATACACTGCTAAAAAAAAAAAAAGAAAATGGTACAGTGCTATATCTTCTGTTGTACTGGGCCGATTGACAAAATTCAAACTGTGTTTTACATGTCTCGAAAGCGCGACTTAGGATATATACAGTCAAAAGTCATTAATCCGGACTCGTCGGGACTTCGGCGATTCCGGATTATCGATTTTTCCGGATTATAGATCATCAGTTTAAATTTGGTAAGATGGCATGCAGAAATTATAAAATTAAAAATATGAAACCATAATTTATGAAATGAAGAGCAATTATGATCTAAAGGGTATCAAAATTTACAAAAAAAAAAAAAAGCTTAATATTCATTTGTTTACTTTATTAGACATTTCTTTCAATGTAAGTTGTTTAAGTTGCTTCATTTTTATGTGATAATACATTCTCTTAATTCTATAAACAGACATGATTTTTTGTTCAGTTACAAAGTTCCGCTGTTCAAGTCTATAATTGCTGTGTGCGACCGACTAATTTGTCAATCGAAATTTTTCGTTTTCAATAACCTCTGTCACTTTCTTCGCTATCGGAAGCGAATTGTAATGACGAGGATTTGATTTAAATCATATCAAAGACGGAGTACACGAGATGAATACTACATTAGTAAGGAATTATAAGCCAAATAAAATAAAAACATCTGCCCTGAAGATAAGGATAGTGCTGACAGATCAACTTCCAATTCATTGCGTGCTGGCCGCGGTGTTAAAGATAAACAAAGTTTAGATAAACAAAGGATATGCCTTTATCCATTTTTTTGCAGCAATTCCACTTTTTTTTAATGGACTTCGAAACATACTTTGGCTTTGTAGATCCTTTACATATTAGTAAATATATATCACAAATTCTATTTGACATAATCGAAAGTTCAAGCTTACTTTTATAAAATTGCTCTAACAGTCTGAAAAAAATAATAAGCCGGATCCAATTCGAAGATTAAGGAACAACGCAATCTGCAACATTAACTGAAATAGATAATTAGATAATTTTAGCTTAGCTTATACCGTCCGTTATACATTAAACGCACATTCGTAAACGTATTTTGCGCACGCGCACACGCATATTCGCAGCCTTAAAGGTCTTATGCGCATGCGTCAAAGCGACGCACGCGCAGAAAGTTGGTAGCTTTGATGTTCGGATTATGGGTGTCCGAATTAACGACTTTTGACTGTATTACTAGTAGTTTTTAAAATATTAGCTCTAAAAATTTTAGCTCCTCAATGTTAATTGAATTTGGCAAATATTTATTAATATCTCTTTTTTTATTACATGTTTTTGATTTTTCCTTTCATATTTCAAACTTTAGTTTCATTCCAAATAAAATTTATCCATTTTTTGTGTTTTTTTTAATTTCAATTTTTAAATAATTTTTATAAATTTCTCGAAAAGAATTTTGAATTATAACCTATAAAATTTTTACCATCATCTTAAAGTAGGTGTATTTCTAAGCATACCTGCAAAAAATTAGACGGTTAATCTTTGGATTATGGTAACTTGGCGATTTTTTGGCGAAAATTTGGCGACCAACCCTGCTACAGCAACCTGCTAGTTTTTGTTTGGACGCCATTTTGTTTTCACGAAGTAAAGGCATTTTTTTCCCCTCAACATTTTTTTCCAACAATCTGCTAGCCTAATTAAGCTTATGCTAGAACTTTCATGGAACAAAAGTTCTTAATCATGACGAAGATTAGGTGCGAAATTGGGAGAAAGTGCAAAATCGCAAACTGCTTGCCGCGTTTTTAAGAATTGCAAATACACGGTATCCATGTACACGTTGACCTATTTTCACTTTAAAAAAAAATATTCCAAAATTGCACAAAAATTGCATTGCGCGCACTCTTGACTTTATCCATGTACACCGCTGAAGTCCTAGCTAGTAACCTTTATCGCCTTACCAAAATATCGCCAAACTACCTGTTACCATATTCCAAAGATTAGCCAATTAGACTTTTTTATTCAAAATTTTCTAAGATATACACGAATTTACATATTTTCGTGTTTTGAAATTTGGCATATTTTTTTTAGCGATAATAACGCCAAATGTGGTTCATGGATTTTTGTTACAGTGAATTGCCACAGCTATTTTTAATCTTAAATTTCAAATAAAATTTTAAGGAGAATTAATTATATGAAATTCTTTCCTTCAATGATGCGTAATAAATATTTATTAATACTATATGAAAAGCTATTTTTTTAAAATTATAGATGATGTTATTCAAATTTTTAACTATTTTTTTAAAATTTCTCTCTATCTTCCTTTTTTTAAAAAAAATAAGAGTAAATTTTTACCTTCAGCGTTTTATCGTCTGCTACTTTACTTCGTTTAAATCAAATTGTCTAAAACTGAGAATTTTCGTTTGATATTTATTTGAATTTTATTTGATATTTATTTGAATTATTAACTGCATAATTTATTTCTAAACAAGCTGTTGCTTATCAAGTGGCTGAAAGAGCGGCTGATATCATCATCCATATTTTTAAAGAACAGTATATTTTTATAGAAACATAAGATTTTATATTTATTTTATCAATTTTATAAAAGTCAAATTATGATATAAACATACAACCCTCTAGAGACCGAATTAATGGTTATGTAGAAATGATCTGCAGCTACATAATGGCTGTATAAGTCAGCAGGTTCTGTGGACAAGTAAGAATAATTATATAAACGACACCCAATACAGTCAAAAGTCGTTAATTCGGACACCCATAATCCGGACCTCAAAGCTAAAAACTTTCTGCGCATGCGCCGCGTTGGCACATGCGCACAGGCGTTTTACGCGTGTGCGTAAGACCTTGACTACTGCGCATAAGCGTGTGCGCAAGTGCAGAATACGTTTTAGCCTGCGCGTTTAATGTATAACAGACGGTGTAAGCTAAAATTATCTAATTATCTATTTCACTTAATGTTAATGATTGCGTTGTTCCTTAATCTTCGAATTGGATCCCGCTTATTTTTTTGCAGACTGTAAGAACAATTTTTAAAAGTAAACTTTAACTTTCGATTATGTCAAATAGAATTTCCGATGCTGAAACTTCCAAAGGATCTACAAAACGAAAGTATGTTTCGATGTCCAACAAACAAAAAGTGGAATTGCTGCAAAAAATGGATAAAGACATAAAGAATGTGACAGAGAGGTTAGTGAAAACGAAAAAATTTCGATTGACAAGTTAGTCGGTATTCTCGTCACAGCAATTAACGGGACTTGAACAGCGGAACTTTGTAACTGAACAAGAAATTATGTCTGTTTATAGAATTAAAGAGAAAGTATTATCACATAAAATGAAGCAACTTAAACAACTTAAATTGAAAGAAATGTTTAATAAAGTAAACAAATAAATATTAAGCTTTTTTTTTGTGTGTAAATTTTGATACCTTTAGATCATAATTGTTCTTTATTTCATAAATTACGGTTTCATATTTTTAATTTTAGAATTTCTGCCATGCCATCTTACGAGATTTAAACTGATGATCTATAATCCGGAAAAATCGATAATCCGGAATCGCCGAAGTCCCAACGAGTCCGGATTAACGACTTTTGACTGTATTTTGGATTCAATTAGCAACGAGCGTACAATGTTTTTTAAATGAATTTAAGAAGTTTTTAAACATAAAAAATCAACTCATTTTTTATCCTAAAATGTATTTTTATGCGTAGCATATTTTCATTATATCCTGAAAATTCTAATTTAGAATGTAATTGTGAAGAACTGAATTCTGATCCTCAGTAATATAATAAGTAATTACTAGGAGCTTCGCTGCCAGCCTTCGTCTGGCTTTTAAATGTACCAGAAAAATGGCTGAAGGGAACACCAAACGTTAAATTTAAAAACTGCGTAAATTTTACTCTGAAGAACAACTTTATCAAAAAAAAAAAAAAAAAAGTATTAATATATATATATATATATATATAAATGACAATGAAATATGCCAATCTCTTAAAAACAGTGACATAAGAAATGCGATGAAAAACTGTTGCCAAACCCATATTTCTTAAAGAATGAAACTATTCAAAATGGTGCGATTCCATCAAAAATATATCAACAACAATAAGACAGGAAAATTGTTGCCAAAATCATATTTTTAAAGGTGTGAGATGGGAGAAGTGTACTCGGAAGCTTCATTTAAAAAATCTTTTAAAAATGCAAAATATTATCATTTTTCCAAAATTCTTTTTGTAAAAGCAGTCGCAAGGATAAAAGTTTAACGTGTCCAAAAATCAAAGAAAAATAAGGTATACATTTTTAAAAATAAACTTTTTTAGAAAAAATCTTGTTCAAAAGGTGTTAAGCTCCCTTTGTTAAATAAGTTCGTATTGAATCGATTTATTGAAACATGAAATTTATTTTAAGTTCATAAAATAGCTATGTTTCATGATGATGTGAAAATGGAATGTGTAGAGTAACATCTCGCTTTCCTATAGCCCATTGTCTCAAAATGACGCGATTTCGTCACAAAACCTAAAATAAAAAAAATTCTAATTCGAATTTCAAAAAAATCGCTTCGAGGTGCACTGGTTCTTGTCTAAATGCACTTATGTACCAAATTTCATAGCCGTGGGTCTATTAGCTTACGCGCACCGCGAACGAAAGAGCGTAAATGCAGACAGACTCTTTCTTTTATTACATGTAGAGATTATGGTTATTAATAAATCCTTCTTATAAAGTAATTGCAAATATTTTAGAAAACTTTGTTCTTAATCCAAATATTTCTAATTTTATTTTAATCAAGATTGTACACAATATTATTTATTTGCACTTTAATT